GGTGTCGTACGAAAGCGACTTTGTGAAACTTGGTACAGCCCCAGTGTTTACCCGCGCGAAACTTCAGCCGGTGATATACACGCGACAAGAAGTTAGCGCCGGAATCTCGTTCGCAACAGTGTTCTCAACAGGTTTCTTGATTGTTTAGTGTAGTGTCCCGCGTTACTGTTACGTACGTGCCAAAACTGTATTGCTGGAAAAATAATACACGCACGGCCGCGTGTCAGCTGCCATTCCCGCCGGTCCGGCCGCGCTGCTTGTGCGTTTTGTGTTCGCTCGCGAATAAGTGACAGGAAACAGCTGATCGTTTAAAAGGCGCAACGCGCCTTTTTGAAACATCGTGTATTTTATTCTCTTTTATTTAAAAAAAAAAAAATCGCGCTGTCTCTACGGAGTTTTAAATTTGTAACGTCTCGCATCTGATTCTGACATTTGGCAATTTACGTTCTTTTTTGCTAATTAAGTTGCAACGTTCGGTTTTCGTTCGATTATCTTTTTCCTGTAGATTGCTAAATTTTTCAGCGAGGTGTGTGTGTGTCAAAGCGCGTGATAAAGTACTTTTTTTTTTTCAATCGTTTTTCTTGTTCAATTCTTGCAGGACAGTGTCCTCTCGTGTTTCGTTTTTTTCTTCACCTTTCACTTTTTTTTTCCCCAGTGTCCGAACGCGGTTAAGAATATTTCTCGTTCGCACGTCAACAACAGTTTTCCCGCGCAAAATTTTCGCGCGTCATTAGTCGGCGTTTCGGAGTGTGTGACACGTAACAACGTCGAGAAAAAACTCTTGATATTTCGCAAATACACAATCGTAAGGTGAAGAGAATTATGTTATTAGGACCGATCCTCTTCGTCGAGAGTGATTATCCGTGCTTCAGATTGTCACCACTGACGTGAGTGCGACGTATGTTGAAAAATGCGGTAAGAACTCTGTGCTCCCACGTGCTTTTCTATTTTAAAATTGCGATCGACAGCGGGATTTTTATTTGTGAGAGACGCTAACATTTCGCACACGAGATCAGTTACTCTCGACGAAAACGCTTCTCGCGAGATCGCTTATAAATTCGCGACATTATGACGAAAACGAGACGACACAGGCGGTCACTTTTGACATAGAAATCAGAGAATTTGAAATTGGAAACTTCGATTGCCGCAAAAATGAGAAGAATTCACGCTCCGTAGAACACAATAGAACTCGTAAGGTCTAATCGCAAGAATCTTTGTAAGAATTCAGGCTATTCAAGCGGGACCGGTGCTTTAACCTTCAAGTAGCAGCATCCATTGTTCTGAACTGTGCGGATGACCATGTCCGAACACACATCGGGTATTTATGACTAACAATTCACGACACTGCTTTCGAGATTTAACCTTAAATCTCTGTCATACACACACACACACACACACACACACACACACACACACGAGCATGTAAAGAAAACATTTAGTTTACGGTGACTGTGAAATTTCTGACGTCACGAAAAAAAAACAAAAACTGCATTTTGTTTTTCATATGAAAGACGTACGGAAATGTGTGACCATATGTCTTAGGACTATTTCTGAATGCGAGAGAAGACTTATACGAGAAAAACACATTTGTTATGCATAATAAATGTTTACATTACAATAGGCAAGTAGTTGCAACTTTTCGTAGTTTTTAGCGCCAAGCACGTGACGCACAGATCTGTTTCTCGGGTACTTCCCGGGAGATTTTTCGTACTCGAACATTAATTTTCTCCAAAAACGACATATACGTAATGAATAACAAAAATCTTATGATCGTAATAAATGTAACTAATTCGCCTGTTTATTTGTATCTCCTCTCGCCGAAGTTGCGAGAGAGTTAAAGGTCGTGGAGTTCGAGAACTCGACTCGCGATCGATCGATCAAAACAAGAAGACGTCCCGCATATGATCTCGAAATGAGAATTTTCAAATCTCAATTCGCGCGCCAAACATATCACAAGTTGCATGTAAAAACATTTGCGTTTTGTTAGAATTCGAGAGATCGATACGTTTCCCGACTTCCCGTCTTTCCACTTGTTACACAATAATAATTGTATTTGTAATAAGTTTGCGAGAGCGCAATCAAAATCCTCCCGTGCAAAGAGTCTCCTCGGAGACTCATCGAAATTATCGAGTTCGCGGATGTAGAAATGAAAAAGAAAAACACAAAGCGCGCAAACAGACAAAAAAAAAACCGAGGATTTTTGCCGATAAAAAGTACCGCTCGACGTAAATCCGCGCTTTTTCCGTACACGTGCGAGTTTGACAACAAACTTGTAGGAGAGTTATCGACGGCGCACAGTGGTGTATCCCGATCCGGCGGTTCCCCGGGAAATGAATCGGATCGGGACCGAGAGTCAAAGAGACACGAGTACGTTTTTTGTCACGTGACTTCTCGTGTCAAAGAACGACTGACGCGTGTGCGCGTTCGAAAAAGTCGCGGCTTTTAAACGTAAAGGATAGGCAAGTCGAGAGAAAAGCGAGTTTGCGATCGTTTGATTTTGTCGCGCGAACATATCAGAAATCACCGTTCTCGTTAGGTAGTTCGTTACTACACTTTGCACGTCGTGTTCGTGCGCCTATCGCGGTTCCTCACAAGAGGAATTGTTTACAAAGCTAGCTGTCAGCTAGCAATTAATTACATAATGCTGATGGATGCCGGTTTTATTAATTGTTTGTTCAGCGCCGAGATATAACGCGACGCTAAAGATTGTTATACAATTCGAGCGTGAGTAAAATCTCTTTACATTGCACACGCGATATCGATTCTATTTTCGAGGTTTTTGTTTTTAGAGAACTATGGTGTGTGTGTGTGTGTCGGAGAATATCACGTCAGAAAATTGGGTAAAACTTCTGTTCCCGCTTTTGCCGCTACAACTTTCGTTCTGCTTTTACAACAAGTGTTACGTGCGATTATTGATAATTGCGATTATTGATGTTCGCTCGCGAGGAACGTAATGTTCATCGATCGCGCGGTAGCTGATTTTTATTTTTTTTTTATTTTTTTTTCGCAATTTAGAACGATTAGACAGTTTTGCGAGTGACGTGATGTCGAAGAAGAACACGCCTCGTCCGAAGTCACTTGCGAATATATGCATTATATACGCACGTTGCTGTTCTCGTATTATACATAATTATATATTTTAATTAAAAATGAAAATAAACGCGCGCCCGGAGACGTGTGCGAATGCTGCATGTCATTCGTTTCGATGGAGAGATAACTCGTGTGTTGCACGCAGGACACGTAGAGCAACAACATACAGAATTTCGAGGGTCATTCGTTTTGCGATAGAAATTGCGTGTGAAACATGTCCATCTATCTGTTGTATGTTAAATGGCACATTTCATTGATACAAAGAGGAGGGAAATAAAAAAATAAAAGTCGAATTAATTAAACGTGTTGTATTCGCAACACTTTGTCAAGTGTACTTTATCGAGAGAGTAATGGACTACCGCAACCTATTTTCAAGTCGCCATATTTATATGAAAGAATTGCATACGTACACACACACGTACGTACGTACGTACGCGCGCGTACGCGCCGCACAAATAAAGAGAACAAACCGAAAACTTGTTCGTAGATGTAACGCGCTTGCTCGACAAGTTTACGAATCGCCGTAATTTAGAAGATGATTGATAGAGACGGGTCACTTTCGGATTGCCAGTAAGTTTTTACGGAGCTAGATGAGCGCAGTCAGGTTTGTAGCTATAAAAACCTGATGGGAGATATACAGTTTGAGTAATCACATTTGAGAACATCGCGCGAAGTTTATTCCTCGTCGTTTTTGTTTGTTTCGCCCGTGTATAACACGGGTGTCTCGAATCGATTGATATTAAAACTTTCGAATCTTGCCGTGTATCGATATCACAAAGCGTTAACGTGCGGTTTTACGCATCGGATTCGGCGGGGAGGGGAGGAAGGAGGAGGAAAATGTCTCTCACGACGCTGAATATTAGGCGAAGAAAGCGTGAAAATTGACCGTGACCATTAGCCGATTTCCTTTTTCCGTCTAGTTTTACCAGGCGCGAGAACTTGTTCACATCTCCACTCGATCGGCATCGAAACGTGAGTCGTGTCGACGCTCTCGTCTCGATGCTCTCGAGAGCGAATCGCCCCAAACTGCGAGATTCAATAGTTATTGCGGATTCAGTCCGGTGAATAATTAACGGCGTGAATCCTGAAATATCCCGCGTCCTCTCGCGTTTACACGACGATTATCGTCTGAGTGACGTCTCCGCAAAATTATTTTCAACCAATGCGGTGACTTTTGTTCGAAAGGGCCATTTGTGTTTTACAGTTCCCTTTCGCTACGAAACTTTGATGCGCTCGACAAAGTTTAAAGATTTTTTTTTTTGTATCCGAGCGTGAAACAAATATTTTAACTTACTTTTAAGTTGTGATATTTTTCATTATAAAATATATACGCGTGACAATTTGTCTTAAAGATATGTAAGACACCGCGACGAAAGAGGCGTTTGCTCATGTACTAGTAGTTAAACTCACAAACGCAGTAAAAACCTTCAGAATTCTAGTCTCGCTCGCGAGTCCTCCTCGCTGTGTGGAATCTGTCGGACGGATGAAGAAGTTTAATGCAAATAGAAAGTGTAGTCTAACGTGGAAATTGCCGTGGCAATCATAATATTCGCACGAAAACACGTGACTTTAATATTTACCGTATCTCGAACACCGGTATTGTAAAAACTTTCTAATAGCCCGGCTTGATATCGGGCGTACGCCGAGCGCGAACACCGAGTCGTACTATAACTCCACCTTCGAAACTCTTCGCGAAACGCTCCGAGAAAAGTCGAGGATCGTCACTTCGAAAGTATCCTTCGCTTTCCTACGACCTTCGAGAAACCGCGTCGTCGTCTTCGTCGCGTTTTCTCTCCGTCGCGCATCCCAATTTCTGTTCTGTTTCCGCGTATAAACCCGTTACGGGTGACGATCGCGCTATTTTAAAATCGATCACCGATCAATCTTCGAATTTCAGGAGAACACCACGGTGCAAAATAGCGACGCGAGACGGTAGAGAAGGAGATTAGAAAAGGTTTTGGTACCTTTTGACGTATACCGTGGGTCGCCACGTGTGCGTGGCCGCGTGTGTGCGTGTATGGAAAAGGAAGGACCACGCAGGACCACGGCAGGCACGAGGAGGCACGAGGAGGACCGGGACGGGACAAAGTGGCGGCTCTGCTAAGTCACCAGTTTTCGGCGCCAGCGGCGGAGAAGTAATGTCGAGCGTCGGGGACAGCCCCGACATAATGCAATCACACGAACACTACTCCCTACGTTGGAACAACCATCAGAATCACATACTGCAGACCTTCGAGGAGCTGCTAGAAGAGGAGAGCTATGTCGACGTGACCTTGATCTGCGCCGAGACTAGCTTGAAGGCGCACAAAGTCGTCCTCGGTGCTTGCAGGTGAATCTCAGAACTTCGGTCCAACCAAGTTCTATGTTTTGTTTATTTATTTTCAACGTCAATTTCTTTCACACCCAAATCCGATACAAAACCCAATTTATCTTAACGCCTTCGCAATTTAGCGAATATTTTGCATATCACGTTTTTGACAAAATTTTATTCGAATTGATTAGAAAGACCGGTGAAACACGCGCCTGAAATGCCTCTCCGATGTGTCCATTTTAAAAACATATTCGCTACTTAGTGACGGCGAAGATTTCAACTTGCGACTTTCTAACTTCGCTTTTGTCTGTTGTATTATATCTCTTGACAAAATAACTTGCCATAAATTATTTGCTCTTCTCAGCGGTTCCTCACTTCGATCGAGAAAAACGTCTCGATCAAGTTTTGCCGATCTCCGCGAACTAACGGAAGTGTAACGCGCGCGCGCGATACATATCGAAAAGAAATGTCACGTACTAAAAATTGAAAGGCGAATTTCTTTTTGTCGGCGAAAAATTTCTTTTATTGCACGTTGCCCGTCGTGGTTTACCAGACTCCGCGTTGCCACGTCACAAAGTTACCGCAACAACAACGCTCTTCTCACTTCGCGCGAGACGTGTGACGTAAAGTTGACAACAAGCGAAAGTCTTGTACCATCTGATTGATTCGCTGTCGCTCGATTGGAGAAGGAGCGCGCTAATCCTTGCGGTGGCTTTTTGCCCGCGGTTTCTGGCCACCATTCTGTCTTACCGAGCGAATACATGCAACGTTTTCCCACTAAAATGCATGTAACATTAGGGTACAAGTAACTCGATGCAGAAGTTTGTCACGCGATTGTACCATAACGTAATTAGCGTAAATCAATCTCTTGTGCGCAACGAAATCGTGCAGAAAACGTTTTCTCTTTGCGAGCGATTCTTTAAATTAACTGAATTTCTAAGTAGAAGAAGATTTTATTTATTATTCCGTACACGGGGCTCTCTCTCTCTCTCTCTCTCTCGCGCTTTTATACAAACGTGCATTCCTCGGATAAATTTTCAGCGTCCTCAATACGCAGGAATTCTGTGTTGCAGTCCTTTTTTTCGGAGGATATTCGCGGAACATCCGTGCAAACATCCTTTGATCGTGTTGAAGGACTTCACGGGAGCCGAGATCAATGCGCTGATCATTTTTATGTATCGCGGCGAGGTGAAGGTCGCCCAGGAAGAGCTACCGGGATTGATGAAAGCTGCGGAATGCCTGCAAGTACGCGGTCTGGCAGCATCGGAACCTAGACCGGTGTCAGCGGAGCCTAGGCAGTCGCCCTTGTGCACGATGCACGATCTGCTTTCCGAGTCGCTTACGCCGGAAGTCGCGCGACCGGTCACCCCCGAGGAGGATGAAAATGCGATAGAGACCTCGAGGGAAATGCCGCCCATGCTGTTTCAACCAACGAGGGACCAGGCCAAGGTGCCGCTCATCAGCAACATGAGTTTCGGCATTCGTGATAGCTGCGGCTCGCCGTTGCCGCGTCGGAAACAGGCGCGTCCGCGCCGTCGATCGGGAGAACTGCCGCAAGATCTGAGCAGACGGTCAAGTCCGTTAACCAGCTCGAGTCCGTGTCCGAACGTTCTTAATCTCAGCGGTAGTAATTCTCAATATCAGGTACAACAACATCAACAATCGCAGCATCAACAGCTGCACCAGCAACAACAACAGCATCATCAACAATCTCTCAATAACACACAAAGTCAGCAACAGCACCAGCAACAGCAGCACCAGCACCAGCAGGAGGATGTGGCAGAGAATCTCTCGGTGAAAAAACCCGCATCGCCAAGCGATTTGGATCAGCATCACGTGAAAACAGAGAGCAGCGAGGCTACGAGCAGTCCACGCGGCTCACCGCTCACGGGCACAAGTTTACTTCATTCCGACGGTCCTGTTCAAGATATTTCGAACGCAGCGGCGGCGGTAGCAGCGGCAGTCGCAACGGTGATACCGACGAAGATACCAACGATGTCGACATTGTCACTGCCGCAGTCACATCCTTCTGAGTACCTGAATCTCGGACTGGCTAGACAGTGGCCCGGACATCCGCAGAGTCAACTACCACCCCCGCCGCTCCAGGCTCATCATCCGCGAGAGGACAGTCCGCACGGACCCGGAAATCCGAGCTCCCATCCGTATCAGCAGCAACAACGAGACTCGCCGATGCACATGCGACGTAGTTCCCTCGCGGCGATGTTCAATCCAACTTCCTTGGACACCCTGAGCAGTGGGATCTTTTCACATGTCACGTACGACAGAGGAAACCTCATCACGGACACCTTGCTTCAAGAGAATTTCAAGTCCGAAACGATACAGAATCTCTTCAGTACCTCGAATTTCAATCCGACTAAGAAAACGAAAAAGCATCGAAACGACGCCGACGCACCGCGCAGATGGAACGATCACACCCGCTCGCTTGGCAACAGGCCTAAGGGGCAACACAGCGCGCCGCGGGGAGGACCGCCTAGATCGTGGACAAATAACGAGCTCACAATGGCTCTGCAACACGTTTGGGAAAAAAAACTAACCACGTCGCAGGCTAGTCGTATGTTCGGCATTCCGTACAACAGTCTTCTGATGTACGTGCGCGGGAAGTACGGAAAGAGTTTGAAGCTCGAGCAGCTGCGGAGGGATTGTATCGGTGCTAATAATCCCGAAATTATGAACAATAACAATGTCAAATCCATCCAGCAGTCCGCTCAGATGAGCCACGCGCTCACGACTGGCCTGCCGCTGCAACATCCCGGGGATAACGCAGGTTTCGGACCGCATTCCCTGCTTGGTGGCAACCTGCCGCAGCCGCAGGGTTTCTACCCCGCCGATTTTGCCACTGCGTCCTTTCCTATGCCAGTGAATATGGTGCATCTGTTACCTCCGAGCGAGCAGAAGAGCTTCGAACCTACTGTGAACTCGAGCGGGGACAGTGGCGGTAGTGGAGGTGTAGGTGGAAGTGCAGCCGGAGGCGGAGACGGGAACAGCGGTAATGGCGGCGACCTAACGAACTCGCAGACTAGCGAAACACCATCGCCCATCGTCGATCATCATCTTCATCATCACGAATCGTCGATGCAGCCACAACCGCCGCAGTCGATGCCCGCCTTGCTGCAGCAGAATGGATCTGACTAGGATTGGCTCGACGTTTTTGTACGTTAATATTAAAACAATGATTCATTTGTTATCTTCCTCGTTCGCGAGGACAAGCGATTCGTATACTTTTGGCTGCGAATATACAAAGTGTTACATTTCGCGTCAAATCGCACATATATCGGAGTTTCACAATCGCTGAATCATAAATTGCGCGTATTAACAAATAATTTGCATAAAGATAACGTCGAGTGAAGAAAGATCTGATATATTTTATACGTTTAACGATGAAGAGAAAGTCAATTTAGTTTCGGTGAGTGTGCGTTTCGCGTTTTGCTCGCGTTACAAGTAGTAGTAGTGTCATAAAAAAAAAAAAATAATCTAGGAATATGCAATATATATTTAACTTTTATAATTTACTCAAAATTTTATTACTTTAGATAAAAGATCGATTTATAGAAATTATGACAAATTGTTAATTGGCAAGATCTCTAATTATGTTGTTCTCTAAATTTTTTTGTTTTTGTTTTAAAGTTTACAACGATGTTAAGATTTTCCTACGTTCACTTATATATGTACTTGTAACAATAATAATTTCAAGCGCGACGCACACTCAAATCACACGATAAAAACTGATTTTCTCTTCATTCATTTTTATTATTTTTATTAGTACAAAAGTAATAAAAAATAAAAAACAACCGATCATTATCTTTCTTATATGTTCACTTTGACGCAATATTAATTGCGCTAAATTAAAAAAATAAAGTGAAAAATATTTATTTTGCTTTCATGTTGATGCAAATACGATTGTTTTTGTCTGCAAAAATTGTTTACGTCGCGTTGTGTAAAACTTACCGATATATCGACTTAACGCGGATGCGTGACAAACTAGTTAGACATTTTCACCCGTGCAAACATTTCGAAAAAAAAAAAGAGAGTTTTACGTTCTGCAGCCAAAGAATAATTAATTATACAATAATAATTAATTAAGCTAATTCTCTTCGCTGATCCTCATCGCAGGCTCGCGCGCGATTCTCCACGAGATATAAAGCGGCGCTCGTACTAGCAAATCGAATCTCGAACCCGTCTCCCGATCCAGACTTTGTAATGATTAGCTATCAACAAAGTACGACTTGAGATTCAGTTCGCTAATGTGGGATCTGCTTTATCCTTCATAAGACTGAACTTTTACCAACTGACTCGCACCTCTCCCAAGGTACACTCATGATGAACATTCGAGCTTTGCTCAATCCCCACTTAAGCACCATTGACTGTTCTCTGCTCGTTTCCATGCTTGCTACATGAATTTCATTCGTTGGTCTTCCGTCGATAGTTGAGCTGGATGTATAACGCGTGAGATCTCTATCGTTCGTTAAAACGGTTCCTGATTCCAAAAAAACAAAAACTCTTCGGCGGACGCATTAGCTTGAAAATACGGCTTTTGATAAATATCATTCGTTCATTTGTCACAATTAGGATTTTTTTTTTTTTTTTTGCATATTTTCAAATAGAACGTCTCGACTATCCCCCGATTATAAGAAGTGAACAATATCTCGTCAAGAGTTTCGCTCTCTTGTTAGGAAAATTTTTACTATGTTCTGTTGTTTACGAATAGATATGTAATATATTTTTGCCCCTCCTCTCATCTCCTCAATATGTTCACATAAACTCATTGGCGATATTGAAGACTGCGTCTTGTCTTTTGTTTTCTAATAACAAGCGCACTTCTCTCGCTTGATTTGCACACATTAAACATTTTATTTTATTTTTTTTTTATGTGTGGGGAGGATGATGTCAAGAATTATAAAACTATTTTTAATCAAATCTTTCTTTCGGATCTTTCCGTTTTGCAAGCATTCACAAACCAAACGAAAAAATATTGCCGTCACGATCGAGAAAAGTCTCGAACCACTCACTGTTACGAAATAGTTCCTGCTGCAAAAGCGATCGCATACACCAAATAATATTGCAAACAAACAGTTTAACAGAATGTGAAATGTACTAGATAAAAAAGAAAAACAAACAAACATTCGTTCGGAAACACTCGCAGAGCTCGATATCAGCGGCATCTCGAATAGAAAGTGGCGATTTGCATTATCACACGTGTTGAGATAACAAGAGACACAGGGATAGAATGACATAAAATGTAAATTTTTAAGTGGCGAATGAGAGAGAAAGATATGTAACGGTTTAATTAACGATTGATAGTCTCTCGATGTACGTCTTGATTGGGCAACTCTTTTTTTGGAAATTTGTAAGGAACAAAACATTGAAAAATATTAATTTAACGTAACGAGAACACTTTTGTCAGATGTGATTACGTAAAAAGTTACAAATGATCGACAAACAAATTTGACAACGTTATGGGAGTCCTGATTGATCCAAGGTGCGAATATATTTATAAATAGTGGGACATGCAAGAATTCAAATAATTGATAAATTATGAAATTTTATTAGTTAACGTATTATATATAAAGTGACCACAGTTTAGTATTGTGCGTATGTGTGTGTGATACGTTTGAGCTAAGATGTCCGATTGCGCTCGAGTAAAGTGACGAAAGAAGTGTTATTAGAAATCAGTGGCATCAGATAATCGAAAATCGGTCGTCACTTTAACGCGAGTCTATCTGCGATCTATTTTTTTTTTTTTTTTCGATAAAAACAAAAGATTTGCGAGACGGCCGTGAGTAAAAGCGCGCTTGCCAAGATTTCCTGTTTGCCAATCCCCGAGAACCTGACTTGCCGTCAGTACGGTTGCTCCAAAAGTGTCCATAAATTTTTCAATTACTATAAAACATCCGCGCGAGAGAGAGAAAAAAAAGAGACATGTCATCCGTCAATATTATATTTTAAATTGTCGATTGTTTTATTTATTCTGATCGCTGTCACTTATTTTATTTATTTATTTATTTTTTTTTTTTTTATCGCGTTGTACGCAGATTTTTTAAACAATCCGAACAGAATGAAGAATCGCGCGATCTGTCGAGATGCGAATGATTATCTGACGAAGAGCGAGACAAGAGCGCGCGCGCGTGATTGCCGATCTTGGCGAGTACACACACGAAATGCTTTTTAAAGGAAAAAAATTAAGAAGTAATTTCAGAGAGAGTTTAATTTTTTCAGTGACATGAATACCATGAAGAAAAGATACGTTCGCGCGTGTGTACGTGTCGTTGAAAAAACAAAAAACTGCTCGACAAAAAAATCATACTGATTTAAGTGTTTACAAACGAGAAAAATAAGAAGAAGAAGAAAAAAAATGAAACAAACGATGAACATTAAACTTTTAATGGTAGACCACAATTTCACAATATTCGACAACCAGACGGAAGCGCAGGGTAACTAACACATCAGGGATAGCCACAGACAAATCTACGATAGATAAAAAAAAAATACTACATATTAAACTGTGTAAAGGTAATTACATAAAGTTATAATAACGATACGATATTATTTCGTTAAAAGAAAAGAAAAGATTAGAAGAAAAAAAAGAGGGATACGAGTAAAAGAGTGACATGAAGTTGCGAGAAACGACCGATATGATAGAGTCCGTTATGTCACACCCTGTTACTTCTATAGGAGAATCACAGGAGATAAGATATATTATAAAAGTATAATAATAATAATTAAAATACTAATAATAGCAACTTAAGTAGAACATAAATAATGAAGAACGCATGGGTGCGATATGGGGTTTTGAAATAAATGTTAGAAAGAGAGAAATCACAGGCTTTCAGTCCCCATTCCCAAAACAGCCTGTACAATACAAACTGATATTATTATTGATTATTAATACTAACATATATTATATATACACACAGGGTGTTTCAAAAGAGTTTATAACTACCACCAACGGGCTGTACGGATCGGTATCCGTCGCATTTGAATTTATTCGTGTTTAAAAATCTTCGTACGCGTATTTATTAATTCCTTAAATTTACATCTTATATGGAAATTATTTTTATTATTATATTTGTATTTTGCCATTTTATTACATTAGAATTTATTATTATATTAGAATTGATTATTTTATTATATTAGAAATTTTATTCGAAATTTTATTATATTATATTAGAATTGATTATTTTATTAGTATATTAGAAATTATTACAAATTAACTTTTGTATATTTCTAATTAAATTATTTATAATTTGTGGAAATTATATCTGGGCCAACTTTAATATTATTTTTCTATATATTATTTTTAATTATTGAATCAATTTTTCTGTAGTATAATTTTATAATGTAGTTACACATATATTTACATGTGCGTATATATGTATATAACTAAACACACATAAAGGCTCAGTAATTAGAGAGAGGCCGATTCTTTTTAATGATTTTGTATTTATACATTCTCAAGTAGCAAAGTACATCACTTGACATAAAATAATGACGTAAAATAATGTTACGTTACTATCTAGATATCTTATTATTCGGGTTATCACATGTATTTCGATAACAATTACTAATACAGTAATTTAAAAAAGTAGAATACTTCAAAACTTTTAAGATTTTTATACACATAATTGTACTAATACTCTCATAATTTTGACTTGCTCTATTAATTACAGAAGAGTGCGTTTTTTAAAGTTAATTAAGATCTGTTGAAGTAATAACTGCTATCGAGATACTTGTGATGACATATAAGGTCAATTTTACGAAATAACAGATAACAAATATTATCAATTTTCTTCAAAACTAAACTTTGTACGAAAAACTTTTATTTTACGTTTCCGATTTATTTTTTTCCAAAGATTCAACTTCTGTCCAGTTGTTCTACGATCACTGGACCATTCTTATATACATTCAACAAAGCTAGTTTATTGATTTATTTATTTTTTTTATTTCTATTATTGCTATGCTTATTGCAAATATTGAGAAGAGATCGCGCGTTTGTTTTAATCGTGAATAAAAAAGAATGCGATACCTATCAAAACGGACGATGGTACAGCTTCGTTGGTTCGAAAAACTTTTTATTCACTCCGTTGATTAAATTAAATATCAACAGAGTCTTAACTGTATCGAATCGCGCAGACAATGACTGTTGAGTGTGCATGCGAAAGTGTGTGCATGTGTATGTCTGTCCTCTGTGTGTATGTTCAACACGTATGCCCGCGCGCGCGCGCGCGCGCGTATTTGTACGTTACAAGTCTGAGTGCATGTATATTTATGGTGCGTGCATTTGTGGTGGGCACGTGCGCACGTGCGAGAAGTACATATATGTACATTATATATAGACATATGTGATAGGCACCATGTGCAGACTTCAGTATTATGTTACAGCTAATGGGAAAAAGAAACGATCAGTTTCTTCGTTAGTTAGATACCTGAAATCTCGCGCCTGTTTCGTTGTTCGTAGACACCCCT